AAGAGCGTCCAGGCTGTATTGCAGGCTCTAATTAAGCCTGGGGCTGGCAGCCAGGGCTGATGGCATCATCGCTATGGCACAGCTGGCCATGCATGTCTGGACATGAGTTGGGGTTCTCCTTGCAGGTTGGTCTGCACTATGAAGTGAGGGAGCCTTGGTCAGGACTGGGTCCAGCAGATTTGCGACCAGCAGGTCTGGCCAAGCTCACTTGCAGCATGTTCACACAGCCAGAGCACTGGAGCACTCACTCGCCCTAAGAGCAGCAGTAGCCACACCTCAGCTGTGCTCTGACATCTACAGCTCTCCACTCCCCTCTCCCTGACAGCCCTCTGTACTCAGCCTCTGCAATGCCAGGCATGGACATGCTGCTCCCCAGGGTGCAGCAAGAGCCTAGCTGCTGAATTGCTGTGGTCTAAAACATTAAGACCTTTCTGCTGCATACAGCAAAGCAGCCCAGGACAAATGTGTGGAAATCCCCTCAGTTCCTCACCACAATGAGGCTTTTACCTGGCGAGACCTGCAAACTGTGCTGGAAATCCAACAAGGCTTCCTTGTGCTTCCCCAGCTCCAGGAACTGCATCCCACGCCCGATGAGGCAGAGCAACCTGATCTTCTGGAGCACGTCCACTTCTGGTAGGAGATTCTCTGGCACAGAAGACACACACACCTGAAGACAGCATCCTCCAGACATTCCCTCATTTATCCCAACAGGCTGAGACAGGTGAGCAGTCAGGTTAGGTGGAATATTTACTTATTTGGAGGTGTTAAAGGGCAGGTTGGATGGGGCCTGGAGCAGCCTGGTCTAATGGGAGGTGTCCCTGCCCATGCAGGCGGTTGGAACTAGATGACCTTTAAGGCCCCTTCCAACCCAAAGCATTCTGTGATTCTATGATTTTCCAGCTCCCCAAACTCTTGGTGGAAGAGCTCTGCCTCTCTGCCAGGCTGAGGGATGCCAGGAGGACAAGAGAGAGAGCACCAAATGCTCACTACATGACAAGGCTCTGGTGAACAGTGACCTTGGAAGCAGCCTAGCCTTTGGCTGGCCCCTCTACACAATGGGTACAGATCTCTTCCCTGAAATCAGGATTGGAAATGCTCCCTGATCACAGCCCATTTAACTGTCACCCAAACAGCAGGAAAGGAGGCAGAGCCAAAGCCAAACCCTGCTGTAACCAAACCAGTGGTGGCTGCAGCATGGTGCAGAGCTCAGCATGCTGGGACAAGCCCCTGCTGCCAGAGGTGATGCTGGGCATGGAGCCTTGCTCCTGTACCACAGCTCCAGACCCAGGCAGGACCCACACATGTCCCAGCTGTGCAGTGTCCTACCTGTTGGTCCAACACCAGGCCCATAAAGCTGGACTCGCAAGAGATCACTGAGGCACCTGTAGATGGGAGGACAGAGGAGCTTCAGTACCAGTGTTGTTCCCTGCTCCAGCCCCTGCCAGCCACCCCTGCCAGCCAGGACTTCCCTTCTCCCAGTGAGTCTCCCTCACCTGCTGAAACAGCCTCCTTGCTCTCGCCTAGCATGGCCGATGCCCAGCCCTGGTGCAAGTATCCAGCTGCTCTCCAGGCAAGGCAGCGCAGACTCTCCTTCTTCTGGGGCAGGAGACCACCTGCCAGCCCTGCCCCAGGTGATGGGCACTCTGACTGCTCCAGCTCCTCCTCCACAACTAACATCCGTGGGATCAGGTCAGTTGTCCGGCTGATGACTTCTTCACACATGGTTATGGCATCCTGGTGCCTCCCAGCCTGCTCCAAGGCAGATGCTGCTTCCAGGAACACCTCAGGGATCCTGGGCAGAGCTGAGCTACCATCCAGGGGCACCTGGGGAGAAAAAGCAGTGTCAGTGCTCAGCCTCAGGACTGCAGAGCACCAAGCAGAATGACCCCGTGCTCACTGAGGACCTGGAGCTGCTGCCCAACCTCAGACCAGCTTGCAGACACTGGAGCTGTGAAGCACTAATAACATCAGCAGAGCCAAGGTGGCAAATCCCTATACTCTGGAAGTGAAGGACATCCAAAAACAGGCTGGCAGCTGCTCCCTACAGGGAAGGGGAAGCTGTTTCTCCAAATAGGCAAGCAGCCTCTGGTTCCAAAGGCAGACACCTGCAGGTCAGGGGTGTCAGCCCCCACCTTGTCTCCTTCATGTCTCAAACTGGGTACTAAAACCTGCAGTCCAGGGGTGACACTTGGGCCTGGGCCTTGAGATAGAGATCCAGACATCATCTACCAAGGGAACTCTTCAGCCTACCTGCTGCTGCAGCCCCTCCTGAAGCAGAGTCAGAAGATCCAGGTAATGTTCCACTGCATCAGCCACTCTGCAACAAGGACAGGAAATGGGGTGGAAGGAGCAGGGAGACCCCAAGAAATAGCAGCAGTGAGGTGGAACCTGGATCATTCTCCCTGCTCATGATATGCATGATGAGCAGGCCTACAACAGCTGTACTGAACTGGACAGCTGCCAGGAACACAGAGAAAACAGCAGAGCCCAAACAAGCAGCATGTTGGAAGCAGACCAGAGGTGCTGTTACCTCCCATCCTGCAGGCACCGCTGTGCCAGCAGGTACTTCACTTCAGAGGGTTGGTGAGGGTGAAGGAGAGAAGCTAGTACTGGTGTGTGGACGAGGAGCTCTGTTCGCATTAGGAAATGTGGGCTGGAGGAAGCAGCTGCTAGAGGCTTTTTTTCCAGAGCCTGTGGAAGAGAAAATATGGTTAACACAATGCTGGCCAAATCCCAAGCAGATGCAACCATGTGCCACTTCTGGCATCTGGGGATGCACCCAGATGAGCACAAGAGCTACACTTTGTAAGCACAGCTACACTAATCTCACTTGCTATGGCACAGCCACTTCCAGGAAGAGCAACCAGGATCACACAAGGACAGGCAGACTTCTGATCTCCACAAGGCATCAGGAGATGTGCAAGATCACTCAAGATCATCTCAGGTTTTCAGCTCAAGGTGCTCTGAGCTGCCTGGAACACCATCTCCAATTGCAGCCACAGACCTTGCTAGACCAGATCTTGGGCAATGCATAATGAGAGAGATGCCTCACCACAGCTGTGTTTGTATCTTAAGGATTTCAAACAGCTGCAGAACTAACTTGGTGTCTGCTGCTGTGACTTGCTCCTCCCAGGCAGACCAAGGTTGCTATGGCTAATGCACACCCTCCTCAAAGCCACATTCTGCCTTTTAAAGGCCCCTTTACTATTAGAGACTGTATTAAGAGGCTGATACTCTCTGACATGAAAGTGCCACCTCTTCTCCCAAGCCACCAAGGACATGAACCAGGACCCAAATGTCCAGCCCCATCCAACAGCCAGGTGCTTAGCAGGAATTCTGGACCTCATTGGGCTCCTTCCTGCCCGTTGATGAAGGCAGTATCACCACTGGATGGCTGTAGTCTGCTTTGGGGACCCTGCTAGGGTCTAACAGCCTCTAGGAAGGCAGGAGCCTGCTTGAAGCTCTGTGCAGACTCTGGCGAGCAAAAATCAATCCAACTACAGGCAGCAAACCTCATAGAGTAGAGCCAGGGCCTGCAGCTCCACGTCGATCTCCCCCAGCTCATGGTACACTGCTGCTGCATGGGACAGGGCAGGAAGGCACTGGAAGTCCACTTGGAGTGCCCGTTTTAGGTGCTGAAGGGCTGTCTGAGGCTTGCCCTAGTTAGATAGGAAGAAGTGCATGTTGGAAAGACATCCTCCTGACATCTTAACTGTTGAGTGGGATCCAGATCCCTGCTCTGCTTCCCCAGCAATCCCCACTAAGCAAGGGCAGCACTTCAGCCAAAGGCAGCCCTCCTCATGCTGGTTTTGGAGCATCTCTCTTTACAGCAACCCTTTGTCCATGCAAAGGCAGCGTGGACATGAGACTGAGCCTCCCCACCCTGCTCAAGGCTGCGTTTCCCCTCTCCCCACCGAGAGAGGGCAGGCCTGGCCATTACCATTCGCTGAGCACAGCAGCCGAGGCAGGTGTAGATCTGGGCCAAGGCCTTCTTGGAGCAGAATCCTCCTGCAGCCTGCTGAAGGAAGGAGAGGGCAGTAGGGAAGTTCTCAGCCTCCAGCTCCTGAAGCCCTAGGACAGACCCAACACCTCAGCTCTGTAGCTCCATTGCTTGCTCCCCACACAAGCGTATGTGCCCTTTTCTTCCCAGTGCCACCACAGGGACCTGCCTGATCCCTTCCACACCCAGAAACACAAAGGAGGATGGTGCCAAGCCACCATCTTTGGTTTGGTGGTGTTGCAAGAGTACAAGCCACTCAATGCAAGTGTCTAGCAGAAAGAAGAGCAGTTTCCAAGCCCAGATACCAATACGCCTGCCTGTTCTGCCAGCAGAACAAGAGCAGAGGTCACCTGCACATTCATCCACAGCAAAGCCAGTGCAGAAAGAGAAGCACATGCAGAACCTTAGGAAGACATTTTCCAACACATCTGAGCCATTTCCCAGCAAGATGCTTTGGGATATTAATTAATTCATATTTATTGCCAGTGGTATTTGTTTTTCTTTCAGTCCCCATCTCAAGCTTCTCTCTGGGGCAGCCCTGACGTGCCCACATCACATCACATCTGCCACCTCCCCACTGGAAGTGCCACGGCCATCCTAGAGGCTGCTGTGGGCATAGACTCCTGCCCTCCCTCCTCGCAGGAAGGTGTAGCACACCTGAGCACAGCAAAGCAGCACTGGCTGTCCCTGGAGCTGCTGGGTTTGCCAAGACAGCGAGCGAGGGGAAAACCCCGAGCAGGGCATAAGGAGGAGATTCATCCCCTGCTGCAACACCAGGCTGCAAAGCTGCACAAACAGCTTTGTGCAGCACTGTGATCCAAAAGGAGCCATGTGCTTGCCAAGTGCTAGAAGACAGGCAGAAGAAAGGAAAATCCTCAAAATAACCCTGCCTGCCTGCTTTATACAAGGCCACTGTGGGACCCAGACAGCTACCTAAAGCCACAGACAGTGCATAGGAATGTTTAGGTGGGGAAGAAGCAGAGAAGCCCAGATACTGACTGGTAAAACTGAGGCTTAGAAGCTAAGCCTAGGCCTCTTCCAGAGGCACAGCGCAGAAAATGCCAGGGGCCAGTTTGCTTGGGAAGAGAAACCAGGGTAAGGAGAGGGAAAGGGGGTCCTGGAACAGGAGAGCAGTGTGAGGCTGTGCTGGCACAAGTACCTCCTCCACACAAACCTTGCAGGAAGGCTGCTGTGGTGCAGAGGATCTGTTTCAAGTCCTCAGCGCTCTGAACAAGGGGCAGGGATGCCTCCTCAGCAGGCACTCGCCATGTCTGGAGCAGGGAGAGAAGTTCATTCTCCCCCTGGCTGCACTGAGCTTTCCCCAGGTCCTGTGAATACACCGAGGAGAGAGAGCAGGGAATGCTTGAAGGCAAGCAGACAATGATCCCAGGGCACAGGAAAAGAGAGGACCCACCAAGCCTTTCAACACTGCCCTCTGTGCTGGGGAGCAATGTCCTACCACCCCTTCCATTCAGCTGCACGCCTCTCACTGCAGGGATTCCTGCCTGGCCCGAGGCAGCACCTCCCCACCTCACAGCAAGGTGCACCTCGAAGGGCTCCTGGCAAGGCAGATCCCAGTGCTATTGGAGGGCATTCCACCAGGTGGGATCCCTTGGCAGCATCCACACAATCAGCAGGGAAGGCTCTTCTGCATCCCACTGCTTGAAGCTTGTCCCCTGCAGAGGCTGCATGTCCCTCTGCAGCCCCCTTCCAGCCTGGCCAAGTCTCCTCTCCAGCACAAACAGGATTTATTTTGGGACCCATCCGTGCACTTGGGGCCACCAGCAAGAGGATTCTCCAGGTTGACCTGCTGGGTTCAGGTCTCCAAGTGCCACAGCAACATTGTGCAGAGCGGCGTTGATGCCAGACACGTGAGCCAGCGCTGCCACCCTTAGCAAACCCCGGGGGCGTTCCCACTCGCGCATTCCCGTGCCTGTCCCAGTT